CGGACGGACAGATAGATAGATAGATAGATAGAAGCAATAGCTGTGAGCTGAGGGTAATTGTGAATCTGTCAAGGCATTGCTCTTTGCTGCTCTTTAAATATATGTTGTTGTATTTTTAAAAATGGCACCTTGACAAGGTATTTTTGTGACTAATTTTCAATTAGGAAGGGGAAGAAGCTGTTTTGACAGAGTAGCAAAAGGTAAATCACAGTGAGATTTCAAATACATTGTAGTCCAGCCAGAAATAAATCGGCTTAGTTCTTGACCTCTGACAGCCTTGTAGATTCATTAGAGGTCTCATGCTGAATTTCAAGCTGGTTCAAAAGCTTTGTTTGGAGGTACCTATACATCAAAAAGTGTATACTGCACTGAACCTGCTTGTGAAGCTAAGTGAGACACATGTTATTAATTACAGACTTTTTAATATGACAGATTCTATAACTATGCTCCATTAGTATGTTTGTATAAAAATGCAAACCACAGTTGAAAACATATATGTCAAATCTACCCTGTTAAAGCTTTGATTAAAAAAAATAAAAATAATTAATTGGGGAGGGGGGTGTTTAAGGAAAGCAATGATGAACTACTCTGTGGGAAAAAAAATCTCACCAGAACACTTTATGGCAATAACTCAACATGACTCAGATATGGTCTCAGATGTGGACCCTCCAGGCTGGATGGTAGCCTGCAATTTTGTCAAACCTTATTTGGGAGTTTACTTGACATGTATAGGATTGGTTTTAACTATTAAAATTATAACAATTTAACTATTAAAAATGCTACTTTCTCTGCTACAGCTTTTCTATGTAGAAGCAAATGAGTCAAATATTACTGGGTAGGAAACCACTCATCACTCTGTGGCTACTGAATACAACCATTTAGTATTCCCTGGCTAAGTCAACACCACAAGATCTTCAGCAATGTGGCCTGATGAGACTTGAAAGGAAATTGAAAGGATAGGAACCAGAGTACACTACTCTATCTGATCATACAAAGTGGATAGAAACTATTGGCCATAGGTGGCCTCTCAGATAGGAGGCCTTATGCCACGTATAGGGCAACAAGCATTTTGAATTACTTTGAGTGGCAACCATATATATAGGTCTTCCTGGCCTAGCTGCCACCTACTCTTTGAGAGTCTAGAAAGACTCCCAGATTACACATCAGTCCCAAAGAAATAAATGCTATCTCAGTGATGGCGAACCTTTTAGAGACTGAGTGCCCCAAAACCACCCCCACCCGTCCCCACTCCGCTGTGCCCACTGGGCCACCCACCACCTCCACGGCCCACCACAGATCACCCAGGTAGCCCAGCAGCACCATGGCGGCCACGCCCTCCGCCTGTGCCCCTCAGCATCATCTGCGCGCGACAGGGCGCAAGGACGGAGTCTTGTCCCTGCTGCCCGGCTACCATGTCCTTGGCTGCGCCGCTTCATGTGGGCCATGCCCAGGGGCAACTCTCCTCTGGGGGGCTGCTGGTGAGGAGGGGGCCATGGGAGGAGGCGGGGCTGGGGCGACAGTGCACGTGCCCACAGAGAGGGCTCCGAGTGCCACCTCTGGCACGCGTGCCATAGGTTCGCCACCACTGTGCTATCTCATCCTGAACCAAAGATGGACTCTCTCTGAGATTGGGAGGCCCAAACACTTCTGTTCATCCCCATCCCGATCTTCAAGCCACCAAACACTGGAACAAGGCTTTCATAGCTTCATTGGACAGTTCTGGGTCAAAATAGCATATCAATAGCATGCTATCAATAGCATGCCAACAATTACCTGAGTTTGAACTGATGAAATTCCTCATTCAATGGCTCCATGTAGATGTTAAAGAGAACCAGTAAGACCATCAAGCACTGATGCCCCCCCCGCACCCCTCCTTCCAGGACTCAACTTTGTAAACAAGTTTCTCTTACTGAAATTATCTCCAGTTGTTTAGTTTGGTCTTTCTACATTTAATTCTAGTTCCATTTTTTCCACTATGCTCCTGAATTTTTATTACTAAAGCTTAAAGACATTTGCAATTTCAACCATCAGGATAGAGCCACCAGCATAGAACAGGCTACGGATGTTTCTTTAGTTTTAAAGGCGTGCTACATGATAGGAAGATGGGATAATTGACTGAATTCCAAGAACAGAGGAAAGTGCCTTCTGTGCCCCAGTTGACTTAGTGAGCTCTCTTCTGGTTAACAGGAAGGTAGACAGGACCTGCCTTTCTCACCGCTACCTAGAAAGATAGCTAAGCATAATATTCCTAATGGGTTGATGTCCTGCTGGTATTTTCTTGGAAATGGAAGGCTGCATTAAATGGGTTTAATCCAGTAAGAGATTTTTTTTTTTTTTACATTTTCTAAGGCAGGATAGCAGTCTTTCCTCAGATCTTATCAGGAAAAAATAAAGTAATGAGAAGAGTTCATGGCTTGATGGAGCCCCTTTTTACTCTATTATTATAGATTTTTAAGACGAGAGTAGGTGACTGCTTTGAAGGATGCCACAGCAGCATAGTTTTGGAACGGTCAAAGACTAGATTAAAGAGTTATTGAGGTCTTTACTCACTTGATGGCTTTAATGCGTTAGAATTTTATTCAGTGAAACTAAAAATCCGGGTTCCCCATGTCTCTAATAGATCCTGGGCGGAGAAAAAAAAAAAATCTCTGAATCCGATTTTACTTCAAAGCACTTTGAATCTAGTTAGTAAAAAGGAGCGGGCGGGGGAGAAAGGCCAGGGCAGCGCGGGAAGGGCTCGCCTGCTTGCCGGCAGCACGGCGGGGACTTCGGGAGGGAGCGGCTGCCCGAGTCCCTCCTGGCGAGCGCTACAGCGGGCACCGAGGGAGAGGGGTGGAGCCGGCCGGATTACACATTAAGGGTTGGCTGGATCCCAGCTCGCCGGGGAGGAGGCGTGGAGTTGGCTTTTCGCCGGCTGCCGCGACCAGGCACCTGGGAGCCCCGGCAGCCGGGCACAAGCGACCTTTTGGGGGTGGAGGCGACAGGCCAGGCGAGCGATCCAAAGGGCACCCCAGGATGGGCGGGGATGGACGGGCGTGGGGCGTGACAGCAAATACGGTGGCGAGGAGGCGCCCCGGCCGCAGAGGTGGCCAAAACGGGCCTTGCAGCTGCCTCGTGGGACAAAAGTGAGCCGGCGGAGACCCGGCGATCATGGAAGGCAGCTGCCGCCCCCAGCAGCAGGAAGCGGTGGAAGCGTGGCTGGACGATCACGGAGACTTTACCCGCTCTTACTTTGTTCGAAAAGCCACCAGGTAAGTTCAAGAGCCAAAGACACGCAGCACCTTCTGGGCGGGGCTGGGCGGGCGGGGGCGGCTGGGAAGATGGAGGGGGTGGAGAACAATTTATTTTCCCTCCCCTTACTTGGAAAAGGAGAAGCAGCCGCGAGGATTTTCCACAAAGCTGAAAGCAGCAAACAAACATGCGCTCTGTGCGGAGGCTCGGAGTTCCGCGTGCAAATAGCTCTCTCGGGTTTCGCAGCGAGTAACCCAAGGCTGGCCGCTTGGCACGCTTTTTACTCTGTGCCCAGCTCGGTTTGAGATCTTTGACTCAACCTAACCAGGCGCATGACCTTTCCCCTTCAGCGCCTGGTTAGGGACTTCGCAGCAGCGTAAAAAAAATGTGCAGGCTATACCCACGCGCGGAAAATTTATAAGCTCGGCACTGATGTGTCAACGCTCGAGCGGGCTCAGTATAACTGGGCCCGTCTTCATAAAAATCTCCGCAGAACCTGGAAAGCTCCCTTTGCCCAAGTCGAGATTCTCCAGATGTGTTGGACGGCAGCTGGTACCCGAGGCCTGCTGGCTGGGGATAAGAGGGTTGTATCCGGAGATGCGCTGAAAACCCGACTCCAAGTCCTCTGTAACTGTATTTTCTAGATTCGTAACGCTGACAACCCATCGAATTTTTTTTTTAACATTACAACCACTCGAGTTTTCGTTTAGCTTCTAAACCAAGAAGAGATTGAAGGCAAATATATGTGTCCCAGGATAATGATGCGAAATCGAATTTGGCTTGGGCCAGGTTATCTCTGGTCCCGGTGACCGACCCAAATTCGATTTCGCAAGTAGAGATTGTTTCGAATCCCGATTTAATTAGTTGGCTTGTGATTCAATTCATTATTAGTTGCCACGTACTATAACATAAACATCCTATTTAATTTTAGGCTATCCCAGTTTCGTCGAATAGCTAATGCAGGATTATCACGCTTCTAGCCTCTTAATGAGTAAATGGCAAGAAAAATAAGAACCAAAAAGGAAAGGGGGGAAAAACGAGGAGTTGGAGAAAGGAAAACTTTTGTTAGTATAGGAAGATTTCTGCTTCGCCACCCGCTGACTAGCGTTTTGATGGATAGAACAATCGACCTTGAAGGTAACTGTCCTCTCCCTACAGCAAAGGGGAGCGACTACAGCTTTTCAGTACTGGGGGCGCCGGTCTTGCTCAGAAAGAAGGCAAAGCCCCGGAGAGCCAACGCATTAAAGCTGCTAGTCAAGATAGAGCTTCCATGTGCTAAAAAGGCAGTGGACCAGTGAAAGCCAAATGCTGGGACCTTTGCCTTTTCCTCGAAAGCATCACAGTAGGCTGGGTGCGTGGAAGCGGATCCGCCTATTTTTGAAGAAGAAGAAGAAGAAGAAGAAGAAGAAGAAGAAGAAGAAGAAGAAGAAGAAGAAGAAGAAGAAGAAGAAGAAGAAGAAGAAGAAGA